CAAAAGACCGTATTATGGTTATTTTAAAGGGTTGCATCTTCTCGAAAAAACCGTCTTATGGTTATTTGCAAGAGTTACATATTTTCGTTAAAACTGTTTTTGTCAAGAGCTGCGCCTTTTCGTTGTAACCGTTTTGTGAAGAGTTGTATCTTTTCATTATAACTATTTTGTCAAAAGTTGCATTTTTTCGAAAATAACCACTTTTGGTTTTCTTTAAGAGTTGCGTCTTTTCAAAAATTAATATTTTTGGGTTATGATTTTTCGTAAAAAACCGTTAAGTAGTTATTTTTCGAAGTAACCGCTTTATGGTTATCGTTAAGAGTTGCGTCTTTTCGGAAAAATCGTGTAGCCTATATATATATGTTTTAGTTTTTTTTTCTGCCGATGATCATTTTGTTAATTATGGCTGTTGGTTCTATAATTCACTTAAAGCATAAGATAGATAAAAAAACATCAATCGTTTATTTTTAAATTATTTTAAAATATTGATCTTTTTACTATTGGTGAAGTTCATAAAATTCTTGATTTGTGTAAAGAATTTTGGATCTCTTTAGACAAAGAAGATATTATTGCATCTTTTCTAAAAAACCGTTTGTTCTATATATTTGTGTTTTTAACTCTATATTATTTTTGTTGAACATTTTATGTATTTTTATAAGACTATTAATTTTAAAATTCACTTAAAGCATAACAATGATCAAAACGATATTCTATTATTTTAAAATTATTCTACTATGTAACAAATGTTGAATAGTCTTAAAGCATAACAATGATCAAGTAGAAGTTCCTAAAATTATTGATTTATGTAACAAATGTTGGAATTCTTTATCAAATGCAAAATTTATGGCTAAATTTTAAATTCTTTGATGTTTTAATTAATGCATCATAGGGTTACATTTTTTATAAAAAAACTATTTTATGGTTATTAAAGCATCTAAATGTTGCGTCTTTCAAAAATTAATTTTAGGGTTATCAATGCATTAGTGTGTTGCATTTGTTTTTGAAAAAAACCGTTTATGGTTATTAAAGCAACTAAGGCTTCCGTCTTTTCGAAAAATTTATTTTATAGTAATTGATCCATCATATGGTCATGTATTTTTGAAAAACCGGTTTTATGGTTATTAAAGATTTATAGGATTGCGTATTTTTTGAGAAATCCGTTTTATTGTTATTAATAAATCATATGATTGCATCTTTTCAGAAAACTGTTGTATAATTATAAAAATATCTTAGGATTGCGTGTTTTTGAAAAGCCCGGTTTATGGTGATTAATGCATCATACAATTGCGTCTTTTCGAAAAATCTATTTTATGGTTATTACAACATCTAAGGATTGTATTTTTTTGGAAAAAATCTGTTTGATGATTATTAATACATCAGAGGGTTACGTTGTTTTTTTTCAAATAAATAGTTTTATAGTTATTAAAGCATATAAAGGTTATATTTTTTGATTAAATCTATTTTATGGTTATTAATCCATCATATGGTTGCGTCTTTTTGAAAATACTGTTTTATGGTTATTAAAGCAACTAAGTGTCGCGTCTTTTGGTTGCATCTTAAAATTTGTTTTTATGGTTGTTAATGAATCCTAGGATTGCATCTTTTGGATAACAAGTTTAATGATTATTTAAGCATTTTAAGATTGTGTCTTTTAAAAAAAAACCATTTTAATGCATCATTGTGTCTTCTCGGAAAAACTTATTTTATGGTTATTAATACATCATAGGTTGTTTCTTCTAAAAAAATTGTTTACTGGTTAACAATGCATATGTGAAAATGTATGAGTTGCATCTTTTTAGAAAATTATGGTTATTTAGACTTCAGTTAGGTCTTTTTGTAGCTTCTTCTTACGTACATTGCCATGATTTACTTTTCGCATTGTACCCATATTTGTATACGTTGTCAATAATAATTGTTTTCAAATGGTAATCCTAGCAAATACACCATAGAGTTGCATTTTAAAAAAATATTTTGTGGTTACTGATGCATCATAAGGTTGCGTTTTAAAAAACAAATATTTTGTCTTTTCATTAATATATCATAGGGTTGCTTCTTTTTAAAAAAAATATGTTTTGTGGTTATTAATGCATAGGGTTGCGTCTTTGTTTTTTGTGTGTACTTCTATTTCAAGGTCTTTTATGTTATTCTTTAAATTATTATATTGTTCTGTTTCTATATGATTTCATATATAATTTCCTTATTACATAGTCTTCATATGTCCGATTTGGGTTAACTCGACTAGAGAATTGATAATAAACAATGCTTTAAAATCTTTTAAAGATGATTATGAGTTTATGTTCGCATGTGTTTCGAAGAAATAAATTGTATTTTTAAATATGTTAACAATTTTTTTTTTTAACTGTAGTTGGATGTTCTTTACCCTCGCGATTTTCGCGGGGTTCGAGTTCTAGTTTAAACAATAAAAATCAATTTAGAGGTTGATTGCTATAGACTTTGTTTTGATTGAGACCTTGTGTTCTTATTATGTTGTTTTTATTGAGACCTTCAACACAATATAGCAAATATGTTGTATATATATTAGCCAGTGTTAATGCCATGGGCTTTAGATGGTTATATAAAATCATAAACTCTATGAACTTCTACTAGTTTTATAAGTTTTGAAAATTTTCATCGATTTCATCGTCACTAGAAGTTTTTCCTAATAACTCTTTCAAATTGAACCTTGATTACCGTTTTTTCTTCTTGCCAGCAAAATATGTAGAGGTTGATGAAGAAAAACTTGAAAGTAAAAAAATAAAAGGACTTTGATAGAAAGGACCGCTCATATTTTTATACTTTCCAACTCTCGATACATTAGGCAAATGATTGTAAGTTTGGACATGATACTCCAAAGATGGAGGATAAATCTAGATTGGATAAAAAAACTATCATCTATAGCTCTATCAGGGATTAATAACAGCATGTTGGCCTGGTTACGTCGTCAATTTGATGGTTCATGGCACTCCGAGAAGATGTTTAGCGGCGCAGTTGGCTTCTACTAAATGTTGGACATAACTCTTTTGTACTTGGCTTAAAATTATCCCAGTCATGCTTAAAATATCCCTTACATGCTGATTATAATATAAATATGTAAATAAAAATTGCGTAATCTACTAATAACAATGTTCAAGAAAGCGCTAGTCGCTAAGCGGGCGGTGACTCAATGCCTAGTCCCTAGAACGCCTAATCGAAGTCTAGGCGATTTAATAGGCGGTCTAAGCGTTTTACAAAAATACATAATATATTAGATATATATATATATAACAAAATATATAAAATAATAATTTATAACTAATAAAATTTAGA